GGAGGGGGAGAGAGAGAGAGAGAGAGAGAGAGAGAGAGAGAGAGAGAGAGAGAGAGATTGTAGCTTGCCAGTCTGAATGGATGGTGGAACTGTTACTTGAGGGAGGACATGGGATACTGAAGAAGATACAGAGTTCAGTTTAGGACATGTTAAGTCAGAGGTGCCCAAGGGATTCCCGGGAGATGACTGGTGGGTGTTTTAAATATAAATCTGAGGCTCAGGAGAGCTTGGAGACACAGATTTTACAGGAGCCTTAGTTTCTTGATCTGCAGCTCTTTCTATAACTGCTGGTCTTAAAAAAAATCCCCTCATTTAAAGAAAAATTAACACAGAAGCTTAACATTTATAATTATTCATAATGTAATAAAAATGATTAAGAACATTGCATGATGGTATGACATCATCACCAAACAGACAATCTTAGAATTTTAGTTGGACATTTGGGCTAGTTTACTATTTTGATTTTTTTCAAGTGTTATCTAGACTATGGTGTATTGTAAAATAGTCACTCTCTCGTACTGTCTTTCACACCTAAAACCTTGTTGTTCAAGCCAATCATTTATTTTATTTTACTGCACTGTAGAAATTGTGACTGCTTTCTAATTCTGCTGTACATGTGTCCCTCCTTTAGGAATCATGAGCATTGTAAAACTAAGGCGTGTTATTTATTGGACAAAGCATGTTCTTGCTAAGTTATGAGGATGGCTTTCATACCATGCCTTCATAACCAGTCAGAATTCCCCTCAATTGCTTACCTTCCATTTACTAAGAATCTGCAGGTAATTTACCAGTTTAATTTTCAGGTTTCATACAATTCTATTGCTAACCATTTATCTCATAAATAAGGTACTATTATTAAATACTGCTAAGTAGATATTTATTTAAATTTGCAGTTTCTCATATTATGGTTTTGTGGCATTGTATTATCCCAAGCACATATGCAGTATTCTTTATTACAGTGGAATTACTTTTAGTGCAGGGGTTTATCCCTCTCCGTTAGAATGGAAGCCCCAGGGGGGCAAGACTTTTTGTGCATTTTGTTTACTGTTCTATCTCCAGTATGCAGAACTGTGTCTAGGATATGACAGATGATAAATAAAATCTCTGAATGACTGAATGAATACATAAATAAAGGAAGAGAATAGACTCATAAATGTCTTGATTTGAATCATCTTCCTTTCTATTTTTTAAAAATTTAAATCTTACCACATTGTTTTATTTCTCTGTAATTTAGCAACTTCATTTACTTTTAAAAACTCAGTTTAATATAAGTTTATTGTGATATAGTTAGCTTGATACAGACAAAAAGTTTTACTCTTTCAGCATCTAGGAGAAAAAGTCCTTTCAATCTTCTTTTAGCTTACAGATACACTAAAGGCCACAAACATACCTTATGTAAGTCTCCCAGAAATATTTAGGTAGGAAGGTCAAGTTTAGTCTTTAAAACCAAACCCAGCTTTCATAAGCAAAAGTTCACTCTAGAATAAGGCAAAAAGGTAAGTAAATAAAAATATAAAATATATTAAAATAATTGGAGACCTAAAAATCAATTTCTTAAAGACCATGACTGTACTAGTGAAACACTAATCAGATGCTATACATGAAGGCATTGCTAAAATAACATCTAACCAAATGCACAAATTAATTCTTGCTATTATTATCACCATTGCACAATACTATGTTTTCCCCCACCTAGAACCTGAGGAGAGTAACTGGGGAAAATGCCACTGACCCATCTCCGAGAAACCCAGCTGCTGGGAGTGTGCGTTGGCTCTGGGGACCTGGACCAGACCTTGCGTAACGATAATGGATGGAGAGTGAAATCTGCAGTGGTGGGAAAGCCGGCCCGAAGCTCCCCAGACAATGGTGCTGGGGAGAAATGCTAACGTGGTTTGCCATGCTACCATGTGTTTCTTTGTTCTCTAAGAACATCCATTCTGCTCACCACTCATGAGCACACATTTAGTTTTATCTCACAGTTAGGAGTGTGAATGAGTGAAAACAGAATGCGGAACATCTCCTACTGAGTCCACACAGGCGCTCAGGCCCTTTCACAACTCTTTCCCCTCCTTTTATTCTCTTTGTTGTTGTTTTGTTTTGTGTTTTACTCTTATATGGACTGTATAGTACTGAACACGTTTTGGACAAGTCACAAACATTTCCTGTTACCCGAAAACAAATGTGTGCTCGTAATAGTGATATGACCCAGGAGCAGGGACCAGGAGTCCACATGCTGCCCAAAGACCTCTAAGGTGGGGACAGATCTTTGTGGTTATCTCCAGAATAGTGATGTTTTTTGATGCCAGGTCAGAGTCACCTTGGCGGAAGACTGAATTGGCAACATGCTGTTTATTCATAATGAGTTCTAGCCTGCACCAAATGGAACCAAGTGCAAAATACAAAAAAATAAAATAAAATTATATGTTTAATGTACACAACTTGCTGAGTTTAGAGGTGACACTTTTGATCCTGACTGGCAGAGACCTCAGATGCCAGAGGCAGAGCCCTGCTGGCTTCTAACACCAGAAGAGAGGGCTGTGTATTTAAAGAATAAAATGAACTCATTTTTCAAAAAAGCCCAGAAATAGTCAAAGAGTTAAACAGATTATGGTTTGGTTATGTGATGGATTTTTTGGTAACTGCTGGAAAAAATTCACATTAAAATATTTTAGGCTATGGTAAAACGATCACTTTAACATATTAAAGGACAAAGACAAAATTCAAAAGTTTTGAAATCTTATATATCCAGGATGATGTCATTTGAGTAAAATGTTTCCATATGTTTCTATGCATAGAAAAGTAAATAAATAACAGAGAAAATATTTTTAAATGGTGGTATTCCTGAACTACAGTGAATTTCTGCTCTCTTTTGTATGTATCTATCTCTGTATATTTAGAGAGAGGGAAAGGGAGAGGGAAAGAGAGGGAGGGAAGAAGGAAGGGAGGGAAAGAGGTAGAGAGAGAGTGAGAGAGAGAGATTGATTTTAAGGAATTGGCTCTCACTCTTTTAGGATGACTGTGGGGGCTGAAAAGTCTGAAATCCAGAAGGCTGGAGGCTGAAGAGTGGATGCTGCAGTGCTGAGGAGCATTCCTTCTTCTTTGGGAAACCTCAGTCATTTCTCTTAAAGGCTTCCACTCATTGGATGAGGCCCACCCGCATTATGGCGGGCAATCTACTTTAATCACATCTCAAAAATACCCTTGCAGCAACATCTGCATTTGTGCTTAAACAACTGGGCATCACAGCTAGACAAGCGGACACATAAAATTACATCACAGCTTTCAAGCAGTTCCCCGAAACCACAGCCTCCCGAAACCCTTTCCGGAACACAATCCAGGTCTGAGGCCTAGGCTGTCTGTTACTGGACATAGAAGCAGAGAGCAAATGAGTCTTGCTTAACAGGCTTTCAAAAGAGCAATAAACACAGCTCAATCTGACCTAAGGAA